TGTAAGGGAATATGGGTTTCACAAGGGGTTACTGTAAGGGAATATGGGTTTCACAAGGGGTTAAGGCTAACCCTAAACCCTAAACCCTAAACCCTAAACCCTAAACCCTAAACCCTAAACCCTAAACCACAAGGTTAAAAACCAGCGAAGAAGATCGACTCCAAGGCAGCATCCAAACATAGAGATGACGCACCTAGAACCACCTACTTACGTTTAGGGTTAGGGTTTAGGGTTTAGGGTTTAGGGTTTAGGGTTTAGGGTTTAGGGGTATAAGTACAAGACACCTTAAAGAGTATGCACATCTATAAACGCACACAAAATTTTAATTTTACAGACACTGTGCGGCTCCTTAGGCTTGTCACCTCGCCGCTTCGCCTTTGTGTACTCGGCCATATCCGCCTTCGGGAGAGGGGGTTTAGGGTTTAGGGTTCGCACCATCGTCAAACTGATGACATCACCAACATAGTAGTGTACACCATCAGCCAGCCAATGATTATCAGCATGCCAGTGATCACAAACAACATGATTGGTATGACGACCACGTTCCATCACCATCAACATTCACTATCACAATCACAATCACCAGAACTGCGCGCAGCGTCATCATCAACATCGTCGTCGTCATAACCAGCAGCCTCACAGCTACTTCTGGGTCCAGCCTGGTACTTCTTGTTGAACATCTTCACCATGTCCTTCAATGTCAGGGTTTGGGAAGGCATCTCTATGCAGAAAGATGCAAGTCGCCCTTTGAGTCGCGAAACCTGCTCAGGTCCTCCAAACCCGCAGAAGCCTTGAAATGTCACGGACACAGCCGTAGCCACAGCCCTTACACGCAGTGCAGACCTTGATGTATCTATCTATCCGTCTACAGCTCGATGTACCTGGCCTAGCTGTCTATCCACGTGATGTACACATGCCCAAAAAACTTACATAACGGCATACAACACACCCAAATAAAACCTCAGACTCGGTGTTGGAAAAGCTTTGGGGCTCGCCGGCCTTGCATACTCTAGCCACATGCAGCCTGCATGCCTAATATAGCGGACTCAATGTAGGGTTTTGGGGTCCACTATACAACAAGTATAGTAAACCCCCTAAACCCTAAACCCTAAACCCTAAACCCTAAACCAACCCTCAAAATGGTAATTATTTAGGCCCCCCACATTAAGTCTGCACATCTTCCGATATCCCACTTGTCCCTGATACCTCGAGATCGGACTCAGGCCCTTGTGAAAATCGTGTGTTGCAGACACACCGGTTTAGGGTTTAGGGTTTAGGGTTTAGGAAGTCCAGTCTGATCGTCAGGCACCGAAAATATATGAGAAGCAGTGCGCTAAAGTCGGAAGGCTCACGGCCAAGCCCTGCAGCCTCAACTCAAATGTGAAACCAACAACCCCTCTGCTGCAAACACTGAAACCGAAGATCCTGCATTTTGGCGGGGCAGGGGGGGAGAGAATAGGTCATTCGTCACCTGGCATGGACCCACCCTCCAGAAACAAAAAAGGCCGCTACCCGAGGACTTTACTTCTTAGTCGAAGAATTTAACTTAAGATCCACTCGGGTTAAAAGAAAGAGCACACACAAACCCAACAACAGGGAAACCTAACCTATGGCGACCCGGACTTAGAACCCTTGAAATAACTTTCAAGCCCCTTATGTTCCGCTGTAGAAAATCCCTTATGAAACCCTATGAAACCCTGTCAAAAACATATGTAGGAAAGACTCGTGAACAGCCAAAGAAAAGGTATCTACAACACCCCTTGACACCTGAACCCTAAACCCCAAGCCCCAAACCATTTTCCCTAAACCCTAAACCCCAAGCCCCAAACACTTTTCCCCGAACCCTAAACCCTGAGCCCTAAATCCTAAGCCCAAAGTCCTAAACCCTAAATCCTAAGCCCCAAAGCCTAAATCCAAAGTCCCTAAACCCTAAACCCTAATCCCCAAACCCTAAGTCCTAAGCCCCTAAACCCTAAATCCTAAGCCCCAAACCCTAAAGCCTTAACTCCTAAGCCCCTAAACCCTAAGACTCCTAAGCCCTACACCCCTAAGCCCCTAAACCCAAACTCCTAAGCCCTACACCCCTAAACCCGAAACCCCAAACCAAACCCTAAACCCTAAACCCTAAACTCTAAACCCCTAAACCCCTAAACCGCTAAACTTTAAGCAATAAAGGGGGAAGCCCCAATCCCAAAGCCCCTACACCCTAAATCCTAGGCCCTACACCCCTTATCAAAAAACTCTAAACCCTAAACCCTAAACTCTAAACCCTAAACCTTAAACCCTAAACCCTAAACCCTAAACCCAAGGGGGTGGGATCCCAAGAGCCTTGATCTCCGACTTCGGGATGCTTTCGCCCAGCATGGTGGCCACCTTTCGAGGCGCTGGGCTTTGTCCTCCTTTGGGGTTTGGGGCTTAGGGTTTAGGGTTTAGGGGGTTTTGGGGCTTAGGGTTTAGGGCTTAGGGAATCAGGGTTTAGGGGGGTTTTAGGGCTTAGGGCTTAGGGTTTAGGGGGGTTTAGGGCTTAGGGTTTAGGGCTTGGGGATTAGGGTTTAGGGGGTTTTAGGGCTTAAGGTCTAGGGCTTGGGGTTTAGGGTTTCTGGCTTAGGGTTTAAGGCTTAGGGATTAGGGCTTAGGGTTTAGGGGGGTTTAGGGCTTAGGGCTTAGTCTTCAAGGTTCAGGCCTCAGGGCTTTGGGGGTTTAATGTTTGTGGTTTAGGGTCTAGGACTTCTTTGTAAAATGTATAGGGTTCACGGTTTGGAGTTTTCGTTTCATGTGTAGGGCTTACGGTTTAGGGTTTAGGGCGTTTTGTTTTGGGGTTTAGGGCTTTTGTTTAATGTGCAGAGTTTAGGGTTTGGGGGTTTAGGCCGTTTTGTTTCATGTGTAGGGTTGAGGGTCTGGGGTTTAGGGTTCAGGGTTTGGGACCCT